ACTTAAAAAATCACAACATTAAAACTCCTCCATGATTTCTTTTACTATCTTTTTTTTTTAAAATATTTAAATCTTCGATCCTTTGGGATTATCCTGACATAAGGTGTGAAGTAAAGATCTAGCACCACGTGTTGAATTATCCATCTCTCTACTATCGATTTAAAAGGTCATCTTTCTCATAAACTAAATTCCTGCATATATTAACATTTGGAGGTAGGCAGGTGAGCTGATCAGAAAGAATGACAGCAAATCCCAGGAGGGGGAAGAGTGGGAGAAACATAACAGAAGCTGCAGAATCTTTCCTGTTCACTTAGCTGAACTAATGAGTGACTGCATGACAACTGTTGTAGTGTTGACCTAAGAGAATTACTGAAGGGCATTTAATCACCAGCAACATAGAAAAAACAATTTTTTTAATATGAAAACTATGAATTTGGGCATAAAAATGCAATATACAACCAGAAACCACTATTCTGTCAATATGATATTATTATCTCCTCGAAGAACACAGAAATTGGATTATTAAGGAATGGCATGAGGAAATGATTCTTTAAAGTCCTATTCAATTTACTTTGTTAAGAAAGATGAAATTTACTTGGCTCTGGTCACAGTTCCATCATATTGACTTTTTTTGTAAGTTCAGCTTCAATGGTATCCTAAAGGGAGAAAGAAACACCATAACTATTATAAATAAGGACATAAAAAAGGTGCTCTAACTTCTAACATTATTTAAAATAAGAGAAGCAAGGGGAGAGGGTATAGCTCAAGTGGTAGAGCACATGCCTAGCATGCCTGAGGTCCTGGGTTCAATCCCCAGTGCCTCCACTGAAAAATCAAATAAATAAATAAATCTAATTATCTCCCCCCTGCAAAAATAAAAATAAAAATAAAATAAAATAATAATAATAAAGTAAAATAAAATAAGAAAAGCAAAAAGGAAAAGCATTAAAACAGAAATTAAAAAAAACCATTACAAATATTAAATATGCTTTGAGCTATTCTTTCCTTTTACATCTCTCCCCCTTCCCACACCCCAAAAGTTTTCAGACTCCTGATTCTAACAAACATCTAAAGGGGAAAAAAGAAAAAACAAAACCCTGAAGAGAGATGAATGAGTCTAGTGATACATGAATAGATTTTTCCAACCTTTATTCCTTAGGCAACATACCTTCCACAGTGTCTCTGACATCACTCTTTTTTAAGTCTCTTCACCACTGTTCTCCTCTGGCCTAAATAGCCCAACTGGTTTCTGCAATTTTCTTTCTCCCTCCTCTAATCCATCCTGTACTATTATACACCTTATATTATTCCAGAATAATCTTCTTAAAGGACTGGCCTGATCAAAAAGCGTAGCTTTGATCACATTTCTCTTTAACTTAAAAGACAAGGAAACACAGAATTGTCCCCTATAGCCTCCAAGTTCAACCCTCTTTATATTTAAGGTCCTTCATCTCACAGACCAGCTGACCTTCCTCAGCCCTATCTTCCATTGCATACTCCTAGGCAGCTGGACTGTATCACTTGCCAAAGCTTGGAAAAGTTCTCCATTTTTTAGCCTTCATGCTTTTGTTAATTTCTTTTGTCTAGAATATTCTGTGTCTCAACCAACCTTTTCCATCCACAAAACTCTTTACAAATTTTTAAAAGACGACTATGTATTTCTTATGGAAAAGATACACATATATACCAATAAAGTATTAAAAGAGGCATGGGAAGGATACACAACTGGTTTACCTCTGAGTAGGAAGGAAAGAAGGAGGAGGAAGAGAGATTTTTAGCTTTACCAACATTTATTTTTTAAAAATCTTTAGAAAAAATGGAACTACTTACTAATTCTCGCTTTGCTTCTTCAATTTTCACCTGAGCAAGAGATGGATTCTTTTAAAGAAACATAAAATAAGGAAAGGTTATGTTAGCTCAACTAGGACTCAAGGGGAAAAAAAATACAACAATCCTTTTCAAAAGGCAGAAAACCCCACAGAAAGCATATCCAATGTACACACAATACTGAAATTCAGCCCAGACCTTAAGTCCCTAAATATGGACCTGGTACTTTCATGATCATTCAGTGCCCTTGAGGAAAGCTGGAGGAGATGACTTTTTCTTTTAATTCATAAAAATAGTTACCGGCATTAAATCTAAATAGGACTCCAATTTTTTCTTCAAAGGTATAGTCTGTTGTTTTAGTTCTGCCAATTTCTAGGGGTGAAAAAAAAGAGTCACAGAGTAACAGAGATAGTCATAATACAACTAAACACTGTCCATTTTTGAAATAAAACATGACAAAGCATAAATTAACATTAGGGTATATTAAATAATGTATCAAATAAAGAGCTTCAAAGGCAAATAGATAACAAATGGAAATAATCCTCAGAAGATGCTAAAATAAGAAAGCTATACTCCCATTTATTAAGAATAGGATTTAAGTATGCTGCCTAGGAATACAAAATAATGTGGTTAAGAGGAATTAGGACATCATGGAAGAATTAAGAGTCTCAAATACATATTTATGAATTATCAATTTTAGATTCCAAAAACCAGAGTACAAAAAAATCTTAAGAACGAAGAAAATAAAACAAAACCCTCTGGGGGGAGGGTATAGCTCAAGAGGTAGAGCACATGCTTAGCATGCATGAGGTCCTGGGCTCAATCCCCAGTACCTCCTCTAAAAGTAAATAAAAAATACACCTAATTACCTCACCCAACCACAAAAAAAAAAAAAAAAAGAAAGAAAAAAACCCACCAACCCCCCCCAAACAAACCAAAAACAAACAAACAAAGAAAAAACACCAAAACCCTCTATTTCTCCTTCTTCCCACAAAAATAGATAAAACCCTTTTACAACCTAAAACCCCAGAATTGTACTCCTCAGGAGTTTGCGTCTTGCATTTTTACTATACACTGAAAGGGAAGAAAGAGGAGGACCTAGATAGTTAGCACAAAGTCCCTCAATACGTTTGTCCAATAAATAATAACATACAACTGCGTCCAGTAAAGCGTTTCTAGCACATAGTAATAAGTAAAGGAAACTAAACATATGTTGACAACAAATATATCCAGCTAGACAAGTAATAAAGATATAAATACTGGTGAACATAAAGTACAGAGGTAAAGGAAAAGAAATCAGGCCAGTAGTGAACAAAGCTCTACAAAAAGAAACAAATGAAAAAGCAGATTCTGCGTTAAGATTTTAAAGAAAGTTAAGTTGGTAAGTTACAGTGAGCTCACCTCTGAAAGGGCGACCAGTGACTGATGAGACAGAGAAGCATCCATTCCTCTGGCTTTAAGCTGCTCCTACAATTCCAAAAGAGAGAGCTCAGTTTAAAACATTATTTTGCCAGCGACCATCATGAAATAGTTTCAACATCTAACACAGTAAAGAGAAGCTACACATCATAGATGAAAAACTATACCTCCTTCTAATAAGCACTTCGACATTGCACATGAGTTCTTTCAGACAGTCAGGTTTGTGCCAAGATGGGTACAGTGCTTAAGAGCCTCAGCTTCGGGGCCTGGCTGCCTGCATCTGAACTGGGGTCTGCTGCTCAGTAGCTGTGTGACCTTGGGCAAGTGACCTAGTTCCTCTGCAGTTCCCTTGTCAGTAAAAAGGGAATAATAATACTGCCTAGTTGTGAGGATGAAAGTCAAAAAGGAATCTGAAGAGAGCTAAATATATTCAGTCCTTCACACAAACCTCTGTAGCTCTGATTCCAGATCTGAACTCCTCTGACTTGGCTTTGAGGAAATGCATGTTCTGAAGACGACTGTCAACTTTGGCCCGTTCCGTAGACAAATGCAACTCTGCCTTCTTGAGATCCCTTTAAACAGTAAAGTTGAAAGCGTTTTTTTTTCTCAGTGAAATTATTATTAAAAAGAAGCTCTCCTACTTTTTGGGTCAGCCAAGAGTAGATACCATACTTGCTGGATTTTCTACCATAAAATTTCTATCCCAGACTAGATACCATGAACTCTTCCAGGTCACCTTTCTCTCTGTGTTGCCATCTGGGATTTTTCTCAGAAATACTGAATAATTTCAAGATTAATATATACCAGTTATTCTTGGAGAAAGTTAAGTCTGCTGCTCAAAGAAGTGACTTAATAGATCCTAAAGCCAATTTGAATTATGGAGGTTCCAAAGGACTCTCTCCTAAATGTTACATGACACAGTGCCTTGTATACACAGTCAATATTTATTGGATAAATTTAGACACTATCAAAGTACGTGTGCATATACATACTCCTGATCTAATCTCTGGGGTCACAGGGACTTAAGGAAGGTCCAGAGCATCAACAGGGATACCACAGCGCCAATAAGAAAGGGTGACAAAGTATAACGTGACTTTAAATTGCACCATAGTTTATAAGCTAAAAGGAAAAAAATCATACATTTTGAAAATTATAGTTTATTTGTGAAAAAGAGCAAAAAAACTGTATAAAATAAAAGGTAAAAGTATGTACCCAACCAACCCTACATTCACCCAGGTCACTTTGTACTTAAACAAGCATTTTATCTTCCCATTCCTAGTGTGTTGTTTTAAATCCTATCTGATGTCAGAACTAAATCTTACAATGTCCCGTTACTGCCTTTATAATAAAAATTGTCATCATTTCAAACTCAGTTACTTACTCTCGTAGGCATTTTTCTAATACTAAAGTTGCAGTTAGATTTTTCTCGAGTTTTGTCAATTCAAGCTTGGTTTCTTCATTTTTGGATTTGGTACGAAAAAGATCAGAGGTCAAGTCATTCACTGCAGGGATAAAACTAAAAGAAGAATCTGATCACATAAACGGACATTAAGGGCAATAATTACAATTATTCCTGATTTCTACAAGTGATTTTATTTCTCTGTGATTCTTCTTTAACCATGCTGTTTCACACGTCTGTGCTATTTTAGACACTATTCTCGTTGCCAGGAATAGCTTTCCTCAGCTGGCAAATTTCCATTTGTCCTTCAAAATTCAAATAAGATTGACTCCCATTCTGGAATTCACTACCCCTTCCTCTGTGCTTCCTGGCTACAGCCTGGACACTCCTGCACTGTTTCAGCTGCCACACTACGTTATAATTTTACATATCCATCTTTCCTAATGTACTACGAGCAGAGACCGTCCTTGCTGGCATTTATTATTCTGTTCATTTCTGCTTCCTCAGTGTCGATCTGTATAGTTATATATGTATAGATACATACACACGGAGTTTTACATACAAGTTTTATATACATAGTTATATATATTACGTGCCTAGAATATAATTAGTATTTGATGTCTGCCGAATTGGCTTAATTCAAGTCTAGATTCTGCTGCCAGACAGCCTACATATTCTTATACCTAAAACTCTACTGTTTAAGCATATATAGAAATTCCAAGGCTTATATTAGCAGTTAAGCAGAATGGCTGTACAATTCTCTGCTTACAAGCTGTATGAGTTCCAGCTAAGATGTGGCCACCGGTGATAGTTCTATGGACTTTGGAGTCTGACCCAACTCTGCCATTTACTAGCTCAGAGAAATCATTTAGTCCACTGCTCCTGAGCCTCAGTTTCCCCTTAAGGTTATTGGAAGAATTATGTCATTATGTAGGTAAAACGCCTGTCATGAAGAACGAAGATCTTTAACTTACTCTAACCAGTAGGGTAGGGACATGACCAAATCACTACGCTCAACCAGATGATTTCATCTACTGCTTTTCTTGCTGTTTATGGGAACAGTGTAAGTGATACCTAACCCCTTTTCAAATATACATGAGAATCAGCCTTCAAAAACCTAATCCTGAAAGCAGAAAACATTAAAATTTAGCCAATACCAAGTTTATATGAATTAATTATACATACTAGCAATAAGAAGTTAACTAAATTCAGTGTTTCTGCATATATTATTAATTTGATTTACTCTGTGAAACAAAAGGTCCTGAGGTCATGACCTTATAGCATACATGATTACAGAAATTAAAACTGTCACAAGAATTACCTAGCTAGTGAGGTATCCTTTGTTTCAAGGGCCACTGCGCTGTCAACCAAAGCGTTCAGATACCTGGAACCAGTGCTAGAGAGGTTGGCAGGGGAAAAATTCACACTCTCCATTAGAAGGTCTTGAAGATGCTTGGCTGAAAAGATATAAGAGTTCTATGGTGACAAAGATCTTTGTTGTATTTTAATTTTTAACAGCTTTAATGAAATCTTCCAAGTATTATATAATCCACCCACCCACATGTAATTCAATGGCTTTTAGTATATTCAGAATTGAATACCATCAATAAAATAATTTTGGAAAATTTTCATCATCCTAAAAAGAAATCTCATACTCCTTGGTCATCATTTTCCAACTGTCCAACCACGAAGCCCTGGCAACCATACACAGGTTACACCGCAGGCCAGCTAGTCCGCCTGGGAGGGCCAGAAAATGAGGCTTCCCGGAGGAGACATCCTGGGGTCAGAACAAATACTCAACACTGATCTCAGCAACCATTCCCTTCAGAGTGCCAGAATTTGACTGGATTAGTTTGTGGAGCAATTTGCCCTACATCGTTGAAATGTTGTGGGCATTGTTGAAAACAATAGTCAGCTGTCAATTACTGGAACTCTACAGCTAGATCTGGACAGTAAAAGAGGGGAAGACAGTCACAACGACTGTCATCCCAGGGTGACTGTGGGCACAGTCAAGTATGTGCCTCCCTGAGGAGCAACATCAGAGGCTTAACACTGCAGGGGTAAACAGACTTCACTAAAGTAATCTAGTCAGCCACTAAATAAATAAGAACACAGCAATAATTACAGAAAACCAAGGCATTGCCCCTCTGTACTCCCATAAGATTGTGGGAATAAAGTCTTTGAGCAGGGAATGAAATAGGAGTGAAGGGCGCAGGGCACAACCACTGAAGGAATGACACAGCCACTGAGGACAGGACAAACTGGTTAGAACCAAGATGGCGGAAGATTTGACTTCCAGCAGACGTTGAGTCTCATGATACACCCTGTTTCTAGGTTGACCTTAATAGGTCAAAAAGTAGGGGGGGTGGGCCCAATTCCTGGAAATCACCACATCTTTTTCAAAACAGTTGGAATAATCCTTCTACCCATTAGCATATGAAATTACTGAGCCCATAAAACTATCAACTCTGTACCTCATGGTTGCTCTCCCTCTCACCTTCTGAGACAGCCCATTCTGCCTATGGAGGGTGTATCTCCTAAGCATTTTCCCTTCTGAGTGATACAGACCCCTCTCTGTGACGTGTGTATCTCTCTAAATAAACCAGCTTTCAACTTAAAAAAAAAAAACAATAACAAGCTCTGGAGGAGGGGGAGGAAACTGATACCTAGAGTTACTATATTACCTACAATGTCCAGTTTCCAACAAAAAATATGAGGAATGCAGAAAACAAGAATGCATGATCCACAGTAAAAAGCAAACAACAGAAACAGCCTGTGAGAATGCCCAAATGTTGGATTTGTCAGAAAAGACTTCAAAATAGCCATTATGAATACATTACACAGTAGTAAAGGAAACATGACTAAGAAGTCACAAAAGGTCTGATGACAACGTCGTATCAAGTAGAGACCATCAATAAAGGGATAGAAACAATAAAGATTAGAATGAAAACTAATAAAATAAGTTAAAAAAAGAGTTCTTTGAAAACATCAAGAAAATCGAAAAATCTTCACCTAGATTGACTAAGAAGAAAAGAGAAGACTCAAATTATTAGAACCAGAAAAGGACGGATATCCCACGGACCTACCTACTTAATAAAAAGGATTATAAAGGAGTATTATGAACAACTATACCCCCAAATTGAGATAACTTAGATGAAATGGACACATTCCAAAAAGGACACTAACTACGGAATCCAATTCAAGGTCAAATATATAATCTGAACAGACCTAAAAGTAAAGAGACTGAATTAGTATCTACCCACAAAGAATAACTCAGGTCCAGTTGGCTTTACCATTGAATTCTATAAAGGGCATAAAGAATTAAAATCAATTCTTCACCAATTATTCTGAAAAACATCATCAAAGGAAAGAAAACTACAGACTAGTATCTCATAAGTATGGACGCAAAAGTTCGCGGGAAAAAACTAGCAAACTGAACCCAGCAACCTATTAAAAAATTATATACCACAAGAATGTGGATTTATTTTATAGATAAATGTTGGATCAACATCTGAAAGTCAATTCATATAATACATCCTATCAATGGAATAAAAAACAGAAGTTACATGATCATCTCACCAAACACAGAAAAAACATTTGACAAAATCCAACACCCTTCCATGAGAAGGACACTCAGCAAACCAGGACTGGAAGGAAACTTCCTCAACCTGATAAAGTGCATCTACAAAAACCCCACAGCTGACATCACACTTAAAGGTGGAGACTAAACGCTTTTTCTCTAAGATCAGGAACAAGACGAGGATTTCTACTCTTCCTGTCACATCTATACATTTTACTGGAGGTTCTAGCCAGGGCAATTTCTTTTCATTTTTCTCCTCAACTGAAGAATTGGCAGCGTAAAGAGTGAATGGTTTCAGCAATTTCATTTGTATTTGTCATGATTAAAAAGACTTCATACAAAACTTATACATCCTTTTCCTAATTCCTGAAAATATTTCCAAAATGTTCCAATTGTACATGCTGCAAAGAACTGTGCTGTGCAGAAATAAAAACTGCATCTACAAAATGATTTTTGGCCTAAAAAATCATTCAAGTCCAGCGGCCTGCATAGTATCACTATCCCCACTACTCAAAATTTAGAATTACAAACTGAGGAAGCAGGAGCTCCTTAGCAGTATATATGAATCTTATTTGTTACAAGGGTTCTAAGTTTTCTGTTTTCTCCTTGACACTTCGCTACCTAAAAAGAGGAAAAACTTAGAAAAGAGGAGTAATGATTAAAGTCCACGACGTGTAGCGTTAGGATGTCAACGGCGGCAGGGCTCTTCCGGATACCCAAGTATGGAAAATTCTGTCAAAACTGTGTATATATTACTAGAAAAATTTGCTATTTAATGTGTCACCCTAAAAAGGACTTAAGGTCAGACATAAGTGATCTTACTTTGAAAATCCTTAGCATTTTCATTATAGACTATTATAGCAAAAAGAAATGTTTTGTAAACTAAGATTTTTCTGGACTCAAAGCCCCTTTTGCCATACGGTATTTTAGTAACTACTAAAATAAAATCATTTAAAAATTAGGCTTAAAAGCATATGGGACAGTGTGACTACAAAGGATGACCACAGGGGAGGTTTTTAGGGGTGACAGAACTGTTCCGCATCTTGGTGTGGAGGTGGTTCTCAGAATCCATGTGTGTTAAACCAGTACACCAAAACAAAAAGTTAGTTTACTGTATGTTAATTTTTAAAAGAAAATTGGGAAAAAAGTACATATACAATAGAATTACAATATAAGTTGCTCTACATTCAAAACATCATATGTAACACATGCCACAAACCTGCTTAATTATTGGGAAAATATAGGTCTCACTTTTTTCTCTTTTGTATATTCCTACCCATAAAAAGGTTTTTTATTAATTTTTACTTTTGTGGCTTGTATTATAAAAACAATGAGTGTGTTGAATACACTTTTTCAAACTACATATGCAGCAGAAAATGCTCATGAAATTCCATGAATGCATAGTATCAGAATGATTTGTTCAAGTCTTATAGTGCCTGGCTGCCACCTAAGGTGTCCTGATGGTTCATTATAACTAAATCATGGAGACTGGAAAGAGACCAAAAGATACGTAATTGAAAAACCACAGGTATCTTATATGACAGGCTAATAAGCTTAGACTCTTCTTTCTTAGGGCTCACTGTTTTACTAACAAAGTACCAATAAAATATATACTATAATGAAATTTACGATTTATTGTTACTATAACAGAGTGTAAGAGAAATCTGGGTAAAGTAAAGAAGCAAAACTAACAAGGAGTCTACACTAAATCTTGTATACTTTAGTTATAAAATTTGATTACCTCTAGTTATTCAAAATTATGTAATCTATCTCACCTTCTGATTCATATTCCCTTGCTTTCTGTTTCAAGTCATCTATTACCAGGCAGACATCCCTGTCCCGGACCCTGTTGCGTTCTGAAAGGTGATGTAAAATCTCCGTTGTCCGCGGATTCACCTCATATTGTGGAATGGGATGATCTCCAAATATTTTTTTCAACCACGCAGCAATCTAACCATTAAAAGGAATATAAACTTCATGAGCCTTGTTTATTGCAATGGCACGAAGTATGACCAAGAAGTGATCAGTAGCAAATGAAATGCTTTCTATACTCTGGCATAGTATTTACTTCACATCCTAACTTGTCTTTAGGCAGGGTTAGGGTTAGATACCAGATGTCAGGAAATAGAAAGTGAGCAAACACAACGAACAAAATTATCAGAAAACAATCCATCCTTTCCCAAAGCTACGAAAGCAGTATAGGCTATTATTTTGCATGACTTCAATGATTTTAAAGCTCTCTATACAGGTGCTAAAGCATGATTATAGGTGCAAAGTCGGGAAAAAAAGAGTTGTCCCCTACACACCATAAACCCGGGAGGCTCCTAGAGTTGGGATGCGAGAGGAGAGGCGGAAGCGGGTCAGGTGTGAAAAATCTAGCAGGAAGCAGTAGTGAACGGCGAGGCTCGGCTAGAAGGTGAGTTTGGGTTCAGAAGTCCCACTCCAGTGAGCTGGGAGAGATTTCGCACCAAGGGCCCCACAATCCATCCCCAGGCCCGCGTCCCACCCGGGAAGGCCGGGGAAGGGAGGGGCACGCCCTTTCCAGGGCTGGGGATGGGGGTCTAAGCAGAGAGAGGCTCACAGATTGTCAAGGCGGGACTAAAGATGGACCAGCGCAGTCGGTAAAGGAAAAAGTAAAAGTGCCGCGCCCAGGAGACCCGCCGGCGGGGCGGGTGTGTCAGAGACGCGGTTTCCAGGAGGCCGTAAATTCCGCTCCCGCCCCGTCACCTGCGCCTCTTTCTCCTCCTTTGCTTCCATAGTCGCCGCTCCCGCCACTTCTCGAGCAGCTCCTCGCGGGAGAAGCCAGACACTCGCCCCGACGACCCCGCCCACACACCGTTGGTCCCGCCCCCTTCGGGGCCCGGGATTTCTGGGAGTTGTAGTTTTTACCAGGACTCCAGGCGCTGAGCCCTCTCCTCCCTTGCCACCTCCCCTCTCCGCTCTGCACGTTGTCACCTCTAAGCCTAGATGTAGAGCCGCCTAGAACCGGGCTGTTCTTTCTTTCTTATATTTTTATTTCTCACTTGAATCACTCGTCTTAAAAAAAATACCTGAAACTTGTTTTTTGGATGCAAATGTTTCTTCTTCACTGAGTGCATTAACTTAAATTTTTATTTTACCGTGGCAATATGAGCTGCAGCAGTCTTAATCTTGTACTTCAGTTTCCAGTACCAAATAGCTAAATGTGTTGGAGACTGTTTTAAAACAGTTTAAATCATAGAACTGCTGGCATTGTCTCTGTCACTCAGACATTCTTCCATTCTTTCCTTGTCTTTCCCAAAGTTCTCTTTTCCTTCCATCACACTGTAGTGAATGCTATGAGAGGCTCTTTATATTTCTATCGCAATGTATAGTTTTCTGTGTTTTCCTGTTTTTGTTTTATTCTTACAGGAACCCTGCAAAATAGATGGACACACATTATTTTACCTATTTTCACATTAAAACCACACACACACACAGACACACAGACACACAGACACACAGACACACACACACACAGATTATATGGCTTGACTAATATTAGGTGGTAGGGCTGGAATCAGACCAGTGTTTTGACTCCAATTGGGTGTTTCAGTCTTATCAGATTATGCCACATTGCCTCCACAACCTTCTGTAGTGTACTGCTACATTAGGAAAGGTAGACAATGTACTCATCTTTCTGTGATGTGTGGTTTAATATCAAGTTTTGGGTCAGACTTGGCACCAAATATCTTTCTCCTAAGTCATAAGCATATTCTAAATGATTAAACTTTTCTTTTCAAGGTAATTTTACTAACTAGCCAATACCATATTGTATGACTTTAATTTTTTAAAATTTTTGTTTCAAATGTGTATCTGTTCATTAACTAAATTCCAGATAAGTTGGTACCCACCTTGAGTATGGGGGAAAAGTTATGCCCCTTGTCCACTTTCATCACTACAAATTTTACAAAATATCCCTGCAACTTTGTTTTTACAAACCAAAATGTTACCTATTCCTACTCCTAATTCCCAGGAGGACTGTCATATTTATCCATGGCTCACCTAGAAAAGGAAGCAGAATACTAGAGAATCAGATTGCTGACCATATATTTGCAAGCTATGTTTTAGGACATGACTGTTTCAACCCAGATATTCATATGCCTTACCCGATTTAAGGTTTGGGGTTTAAGTTAGGATTTGGTGGATGAAACTGAAAGATCCTTCCCAGAACAGCAACAAGTGAAGGCAAACTTAATAGTCTCCACTATCACAAAATTTCAAACATTCCCCTCAAATTCTGTAACTATCACAAAAATCTCAGTATCACAAAAGATCGGTGGAGGTAACAGGAGTCTCACCCTGATCTCATTGGGTAGGTATAGAAAGTTACTTTCATCATTTCCGCTTTACTTCAAATGAAAAAGTAGAGTCTCCACTGCATGAAAGTAGTTGCTGGTAGAGGAAAATTTGAGCCGGAGCCCAGTCCAGAGTGAGACTGTTAATTATGGACCATCCGTCTCAGGATTGGCAACCACTCTATCCAAATTTGGGCTTGTTATAATTTTTAAACAAATTGTTTTAATTCGTAGATACGATTTTTCAGATCGAATCTAAAAGAACTGAGATTCTCCAACTTGAGCGCGTATCGGATCACCTAGAATGATGTGGGTGCTTCTCAAAAGTTAAGATTGCCCCCAATTTTTGACTCAGAGGGTCTGGGGTGTGGCCAGCGATCTGCGGTTTAATCTGCATTAATTCTGTCGGCAGGAAACGCTATGCGGCCGACCCGCCCGGGGGGAATAACAGTTTACTGTGGCTACAGCACCGTTTTAATAGCTGTAGCCTCGCACCTGCCACCATGAACCCCTCTGATGGTCAAGCCAGCCGCGGCCCGTAATGCGGTGACGCCAACATCATCTTGCTCCCGGGATAGGGCCTGGGAACTGCTTTCAGCCGGTTCCGGTACCCATGTGGTCTCCCAAGGGCGACCACAAGTTCAATGCGAAAGATCAAAGTAAATGTGTAACCAGTGCCTGGGCCGAAGCTGGCAAAGGTCTAATCACTCATCTGCAGGTTTAAATCTAAAAATGATAACTTAAAATAAAAGTAACACGCTCCTCCCCGCCTCCAACAGGCAGATTTGCGTCCGGGGGTGAAAGCGCGGGGCGGGACTTCCGGGTCAGGCGGGCCGGTTGCATTGACCTTCCTCGCCGTTCGGCCATTTTGTCCCAGTCAGTCCTGAGGCTGCGGCTGCAGAGGTAGCACCTGCGGAGGACCTGCGAAGATGCTGTCCGTGCGCGTCGCCGCGGCCGTGGCCCGCGCCCTCCCTCG